TTGAACAGGCATAGGGGTTTGTTTATTGAAGGCTTGGCCAAGACTGGCACAATCTGTTGGGCGATAACCATGATTAGTCAGAGTTGGAAGACACATGTCCTGATTTGCCTTTTAGGAGAGACATAGCAGGGTATGTGGGTGGATCACGCCTTGAAATTAGCCAACGTTTTTCAGAAACTGCCTTGTACGTCATGAATTGTGGCAAACACATTTTTTGCCCCGAATCAAGTGAATGCCCTCCGTGTGCTTTTGGTATGCAAGCATTGCGTTTGCTTGCGAGAATGCAGCGTGCCCAAGCAGTGTGGATGTGTCGGCCAGCGTGGAATCAAGAGGATTCATGCCAAAGGCGTGGCACCAACACACAGCAGTTCAGCATGACAGTACGCATCAATGGGCATCAAGCTACAACAATGCACTTGAATCCTGACGTAGCACATGGCCATGTTTGTGTTCGTGCCTTGGCCGCTGCCCGCTGGCATCAATGCACTGAGTGCAGAAGACCAGGCTGGCGCGAGTGGCAGAAGCTGCTGCCATACCCTTTCCAACCTGTGCAAGTGGGGTCGTGACTGCGCCCACCAACATCTATGGGTTTCTAGGAGGGTTGGTCAGAATCTCTCCGACTTGACTCAATCCACAGGCTGGGTCCTTAGTTGCTTGTGTTGCTTGGCCTACTTGCGGACAAGAGGCATCATGTGAGATCAAGCACTGGTAAATACAAAGTTCAAGCGCGACTCAAATCTCATGTCAATTGCAGGCACGCCAGTGGAGCTGCCACAGCCCCAAAGATTCGTACTGTCCTCAGCTCGAGTGAGTGGTTGAACATGAGTCCAGTGACGGGCGTCCGAAGTGCAGGGGTGTCCTTGTGGACCTAAGATGTTGGTGCTCTTTTCAGCAGTTTGTGGAAGCATGCGTGAATGAGGTCACTGCTGCTGACGGAAGCCATGCTTCGGCTGACGTCGTCGCAGCGGACGCAGGCGCCAAGGGGACAACTCAATCTTGCTCAGTCCCCAGGTTTGCTTTGAATGTGTGCAGCTTTCACTGACTTGTTTCCTTCAAACGTGGCAGACCAAGCAGCTGACTGCTGCTAACCGCCAACCGTCTTTAAATGATTTTCGTCCAACATGCAAACCTAGGCCGTTTGCCGGGAGTGTGACTTTGCTTGCACGGACAGGCGCTGCGCCGTGGACAAGCTGTTGTGTGTATGATGGGCCAATTTTGTGATCGGAACAGTTGTCCCCGTTTTTTGGGGCCACGTGTTGCTTGGGCATGTAGCTGAGAGTGACAGGTGCTCTCGACGGTGTCAGAGAGCATATATATATATATATATTTTCATGAATGCTTGGGCGCCAGCCCGCTTTTATGACTGGTTGCAGCTTGGGGTTCAGCTTTGCGCATGCCAGATTGCATTTTCTAGAAACGGGGCATACGATCACCATGTGTGAGGTGATGTACATGCAGAGATGATATATGTACCCCGGCCGAATGCCACCGAATCCTTCGATTCCGCTGCCCTGGTGTCCGAGTTGGGGTTGCCACTCTCTCGGCTCAGGCAAAAGAGGCAGGGAACCTGGGGCAACATGAGCCTCAGCGCTTCAAAGTGAAGGCCATCTGCCTCTGATGGCTCACACTTTTGGGACTGCCTGCTTTTGCGCTGGAGCCAGCCCTCTGCAATGAAACCGGCTTCACTGACCCAGTCTACTGCTTTGGTTGCAAGTGAACTCACGGGTCAGGCCATTTTTTGCGAAAATCATGGCATTGTTAATAGCTCTGTTTCCTCAAGCATGCGCATGCAATATCAAGCGTGCGCCCCCAGACTAAACGTGTTTCAGAAAGTGTGAGCCTTACACCAGATGTGACTAGTTTGAGGATAGTCACACATGCATCAATCTCGTCAGTTTGTTGCTTGCTGGCAATACAGTACGTGCCCTCGGCAAGAAATCCATAGCCTAAGAGACCAACTGTCCTGAGTCAATGCCGGCCAATTCAAGCACGCCGGAGAGGATCCAGCCAAGAAGAATGTATAAGAATGCGTGCTTCAACATATATAAAAGGGGGCTTGTCTTGGCGTGAAAATTTGGCATTCCCTTTACCTTCTATTCGAGATGGTGAGGGATGCGGGCTGGTAGGGTTTGAGCGCCCAGGGCACATCTCTTTTGGGCCAGCCGTTCTGCGCAGCCTCCCTTGACACAGGCCGTGAGGACTTGTCCAATGCCAAGTCCGAGCATGAAGCTTCAGATTGTACAGATGTGCAGTATAGTTCTTGTCGGGTTCAAGCACTTCCGGTATCAAAATGGAGTTTAAAGGCACTCAGGGCGAAGCTGGAAGCATCGGCCGGCCCCAGCACCATAGCTGAAGCAATCCGCCTGACCCTGCCTGCTTCTCCCCGCATTTGATCCATCGGATCATATCACACTCGACCCACTGAAAGGCAATAATGGGGATTGACAAAGAAAGCGGGAGGCATGAAGGGGTGGCTATGTAGACAGAGTCAATCCCGAGACATGTTCATACCTGGCTGCCTGCCAAAAAAGGCGAACGAGTGTGGAGTGCTTCCTCAAAAGCATGCATCACCCAAGTGAACCAGGTTCAACTGTCATCAACACAAGCAATCCAGAATGGACTGTTGAATGATGACACGCCGTGAGCCCCGCTTTCGCCGCGCTCTATTCACTTTAGGCTGCCTCGCATATCATCCTTCACAGCGTGTGTGCAGTCATCTCGGTACCTCGTAATGGACCTCTTGTCGTGGTTTGGCCTGGCAGGCGCCTTGTCTTTGCATGTTGCTACCCTACCCCAGACTTGATTGTCGTGTTTCTTCGTCTTGTTTGATTCATTGATGCTTCTGGAGGCGCCTGTCCAGCAGCCGGCGAGGCCCGAGACGCATGGCCAATCCTCTCCAAGCAGAGGGCTCTGCCCTGAGCTTTTGCATGACTTGTAGGTTGAAGAACCTCTTGTCCGCGCCTCAATGCGACCTTGGCCAAACCTGCTGCTTGTCACATGCACTTTGGCAGATATTTGCAATGACTACATGGCTGCAGGCAGCATTTCTTTGCAGCGTAAAGAAGGAGCACCAGGCACGCTCGAGATGCTTTGCAACTTTGCAACTTTGTCGATGGCATCGTGGAAGAACACTGTGTGTCAAGTATCAATGGCTTCAGGAATGTTGACCGTGTTCAGGTCAGCACAGCATGACTTGTAGGAAATCTCGAGGGGGCGGAGACTCAAAGACTGTTTTGCCATCGCCAGGATGGATGGTGTGAAATATGGTGCTTCGCCCGCAAGGGGTGGGAATGGGGGGAGGGCCGCAGGAACGACCAGTCTTCCGGTAGCACATGTTCCAGCTGGCGGTCAATTTGGTGCCCAAAAGCATTGACATGTAGTCAACAAGGCAGAGTGAACAGCAGAGCTGCAATGCAATGCGTCTGCTAGCGGCTTTTCGAAAACACGGTACGCATGTGGAGAGGGCAAAAGCGCAGTACTCCAGTTTAGTGTGCCCTTTACAGTCTTTGAAGCGCACAACAGGCAGGGCACCTATGGATGTCACACATGCATGTTCGCTGTACTGCCTGCAAGCTTGGCTTTTTGCTCCGTTCAGACCTGTTTGGCAATTGATTCACAGCTTCTGCTGGTTGCACATGGGTGAAGCAGCTTTGCTAGGCTGCGGTGGGCATGACAGGTTGATGCCGCCACGGGCAGTAAAGCGCTGGTCTACGTTTGTTTGTTGAGCCCATGCTTCCAATCTGTCATAGGATTCACCACCGCCCCTCGCTGCTTCCCTGAGTCAAGCGCCATTTTTTTTCCGTTGCTCCCTCAAATCGGACTTAACAAGCCCTGAGGAAGGGTTCGGGGAAGCAAAGGATGAGGCTTGCCCTTCAAAGCCTGCAGGCGCAGCCCATCCAAACGACGGTGCAGGCCCTTTGGGCGGAAAGCGTTTCGCCTCACTGTACATTGATTTTCTCATGTGTGTGTGTGTGTGCACCAAAAGGCTTTGGCAGCAGCTGTCCGTCACTCGTGCACGTTGCCTGTTGCCATGTTCCCTGCGTGCTGCTCTCGCTCTATTGGGGCCGGGGCCGGGTGTCAGTGCTGGCTGGCTTTTGGCAGCGGGCAAGGCTGGGGGGCTGGGCATTGTCGTTTGTGCTTGAGTTTGCTTGCTGGCTCAGCCGCTTTTTCCTCTTGCTTTGCTTGCGTTTCTCTTGAAACCTAATGAGAGGAACCAGGATTGTTTTCCCCCACTCTCGGTGGGGGCGGGGGGAAAGCGTTCCCCAAGCTTCCCGAAGCGTCGTTAAGAACCTGCCTTGCTGTCGCGTCATGTCACGCCATGTCACGCCACTCCCTCCTTACTCCCTCCCCAATTGTTTTTCCGATTTGGGCTTTTTTCCGCAGCTGTATAGCCTGCTCTTGTGCAGAAACCCCACACACACACACAGGGATTGATCCAGGGGTATCTAGGGGTATCTAGGCTCAAAGGGAACGTAGCCAATCGCAGCGGGCTGGGGCTTACGTAATTGTGTGATCCCGCTTGCGTCCCCAAATGGCCAGAGAAACCAATCGTTGCGCAAACTGACATCTGTGTGGCAGATATTTTTGCACCTATCCAACTCCGATAAGCCCAGCGTTCTTCTTGACATGGCCCTCACACCCAAACGCTCAAAGGGATGTTTGCCTCTGCTCGCTGGATTGGCACATTGCTTACCGAGCATGAGTAAACTCCGGTTTGAGTGACCCCTGGCGGATCCTGATGGTGAAAAGCAACGTGAGATCATGGTGGGCTGCAAGACGTTTTGTGTTTGATGTTGCTTCGTGAAATTGATGAACGCCTGAATCTTGGCCAGCGCAGGTCCTGCTCCAAAGTGAGAGGCTCGCCAATTTGGACCACTTGCAGGGCCCTGATGTTTCTAGTCTGCACTGCAGCTGTCTGCTTTTTGAGCATTGTCCCAGTCAAGACAGCGATGTCCACTTGCAGAACCTGAGGCAAAGCCCGACTTCGAGCTGCTAGTGGAGTTTGACATCGCAGCCAGCGATGCCATCACCACTGGGTCCTGTGAGAATCTCGGCATACAGTCTGGGAGACGCATGTTGCGGACCCTGGACGAATTGCTGGAGATGGACCAGCTCAAGGTGGCCACGGCAGTCGGGTCCAGGAGCCGGCCTACCGATCATCCTCGGGCACGGCGGGAGCGTGCCGAGAAGGCGCTTCAACACCCGGACTGCTCCGCGATCCTGAGACGGAAGCTCCAGGCCATGGCACTTAGCCTCACCGCTGCATCAAAAGTCGCCCCATGTCTTCATCTTGCGAGGCCGGCTCCTCGCCTGGCGCTGAGCACTGATCGCGCCGAGGGGACTGACATCAGAGCGAAGATTAGAACTGGTTGTGCTGACATGTGCTCAATCTGGCCTAGCCGGGTTGCGTGAACGATTCCATTGCAAGACTTGAAGCTTCCTTGACTTGTGACCTTCCACGGAATTGCCATGAGACTTTGTCTAATAAGCATGTGATTTGAGATTCAATATGGACTGAGTTCGCAACATGTTCTGAGGCGGTGTGCAGAGGAAGACACGGCTTGGAACATGTCTGGAGCCCAGGCAATGTCTATTGCTGTTGTTTGCTGGCTTATTTTGACTTGGCATCGCTTCGATGTTGCATCTGGCATCCAGTGCTAACCTCTGAGGTTGGATGGAATCCATTGAAGCCAACAGCGAAGGCCAGAGAACGACAGTCGTTGCACTGGCGGGCCGCAGTTTTCAGAAGAAGAAAGCTTGTCGTTTCACTTGTCGCTCAGGCTGCAGTCGCCGGGCGTCAGAAAGGGTTGGGAGACTTCCGCTGTTGCAGGGTCGTAGACGCCGACAAGACCCTCTGAGTGAGGAAGCAGGATCAAGAGCAACTATGACTTGAAAAAGCGTTGAGCCTGCAGTCCTGCGCGCGGCAAATGTATCGATGAAGGGATCAGTGAAGATTGAACATGACTCAGCTTGAAATTATCATCAAACCTACATAAGCCAGGGACGCGCCAAGAACCGATACCCTCGTCCATGCGAGCATCCGCTTTTGTTTTCCCTTTGTTGGTCAGGGACAAATTTACAGACCAGTGTACTTCATGTTAGTTAAGAAATGCTGCAAACTGAGGTGCGTCTTGGGTGTTTGACGAGTTTCAGGTTGAAGGGCTGCAGCTGACAGGATGCCCATGGAACAAAAGTGTGTGGCACTTAAACCTGGTTCCTTTGTTCAGTATTTGCCTGCAGCTTATTGTTTCGAACTTGCAGGCAAGCAGGGTCGGTCATTGCAGCTAGGCATGTTCCTGTGTGAAGCACGGCGGAGTCACGTTTCAGTCTTGAGCATGTCGTTCCGACAACGGTGTCGGCCAGACACACAGATTTGACACAGACAAGCCCGGGCAGCAATGTCATGTCAGAGTCAGCACGCAAAGCAGCCAATCTGAGACAGGCATTCAACGCAACTACAGAGACATTATCTTTTCAACTGCAACCTTTTTCTCCGCAGCAAAACGATCAGCGCAGGACTTGCGCAGGCACATGAGCTGTTTGCCGGAGCTTTTTGGCGACCAGACACATGAGCAAAGTTCGAGTTGACTTGTCTCGGTTGCTTAGGTGAATGCATCATGGCAATCATCACCCTTGTTCTTTGCTCCACTTGTTTTCGGGGCGCCCTTTTTTGGGCTTATTTTTTTAGTGCCACCCGAAAAGGGGTCTCCTGTTTGAGTATTCACTTCTGCTTTGTTCCTTTCTACACAACTTGGTGCCTGATCATGTGCTTGCCAGCAACCCTGGCCAGCATCGGGTTATGCGCACTTTGTAAAAGGCCCGCTGACATACCCATGAAACAAAACAGCTTAGCCAAGTCGCTCGCTGACCTGAATCAAAGTCCAGCTGCTCATGAAGCCTGAGATCTTCTGAGAGCCAAAATGTCACATGTCGGGGCTTTGATTGGAGACGCGACGGGGTTTAGCTACTGGACTCCCAGGAGCCGTGCGAATAGCAAGCACCAACGCCTGCGCGACGGACGCTATGTGGGGCTGGGGTCACTCAGATGGCTTCCTAAAATTGACGAAAGCTGTAATGTTGTTTTTTTTTTGGCGGCGCCCCGATAGCGTGCCCCCTCGGGCACTGAACGCTATCAGCCACTATCATTTTTGCTGCTGGGATAAATCACAGGGCATATGTTTTAAAGCGATGGGCGGAACCACCTGCTTGATTGGATGAATTACACGGCATGTTCCCTACAGCGACGGAGACTAATGTGGGTGACTGTTTAATAAAGGGCCCCCCCCCACTACATATCCTGTATTTTCCTCAGTGCGGCCCCAATCTCTAAATAATAAAATCAAAAGGGGTACCCAATTGAGAAACTGTTGTTCCGGGCCGGAAAAACAACATACTATCAAACCAATACTAAGCCAGTTCTAAACCAATACAGCCAATACAAACCAATACTAAGCCAGTGCGAGGGCAGCACAAAATACTAAGCCAATTCTATCCCAATACTAAGACAGCACTAAGAAAGCACCAAGCAGTACTGAGACAATAGTAAACCAATACTATACAACCAATACCAACCCCCAAAACGATACTAAGCAATGCTAAAACAAATTCTAAACTTGGGACAGGCCAATCTGATCCCTTAAATGTTTTGCCAGCTTGCTCAATGTGGGGGGATGGGTGTGATTTGCAGAGATCTTCTGAGTTGCTCAGAACTCAGAGGCCAAAAACAGGTGAACTCTAAAGAAAGAGATGGACTCTACAGGCCAGGGCTGTCGCATGGTTGGACCGTAGCCGCATTTTGCCCGCGGGCAAAGCACATTTTGTAGTAAATGCCCCTTTGCATTTTGGGGGTAGGGGGTATTTTTGGAGTTGAGCTTATGTATTTGTACTACTTTGAGCAATCGGACACCGACATAATCTTTGATTGCAGCAGCATGCAGTTTCTCCTCTTTCATCACGTACATTTGTTTCCTCTGCAAGATCTTGAAAGTCACCATTTGTGGAGACCTTCATGTTAGTTCCATGCAGGAGGGATTGCGTCTGGTTTTTTGGGGCAACGTCAGTGCATACGTCTGACCAGAGGTGGCCACAAAGCAGTGGTAGAGCAGATTTGTTGTCCAGCTGATTTGCACTGTTCTGCAGCCTCAGGCGGCTGGCCGCCATCTAGAAGAGCAGAAGGATGGTGACGAGAAGCAAAAGGCACTAAGGCGCACCCTCTTGAAAATGGAAGCGGTGCCGCAAAAAGGCGGCTGACAAGAATTTATGATGCTTGCGTTTGCTGTCTCTGCTGCTGCTGCTGATGCTTGGTGGTGGTGGAGGTGGATGTGAAGGTGGTGGAGATGGCAGAGGTGGAGGTGAAGGTGGTGGAGATGGTGGAGATGGTGGAGGTGGTGCAGATGGTGGAGATGCGGGAGGTGGAGGTGGTGGAGTTGCTGGAGGTGCTGCAGGTGCTTGATGTGCCGGTGCTGGATGTGGTGGTGGTCCTGACAGTAATTAAAACTGGTTTTTCTGCTGTTGTTGATTTAATTACAGTACTTGCATAACTTCAGCACCTTCATTGGCGTTCATATTGGCTTCTCTGTTGGTTTCAATTGCTGATTTGTATTCTGCTTTAATTCATGACTAATGCGTAATTGCTTAACATAGCTTTTGAATTGCCCTCCAAGCGCTGTTCAATTCGCTTTCCATTTGGGGCAAAACATGAGGGCGGGGACACATGCAACACTCTGGCACTCTTTGTCACGGCTGGATTGTCAGTTTCCAGCTTGTGCCATATATTGGGGATCAACACGTGCATTCCGGGTCCCAGCGCAGTCGGCGGCACGTGAGACAGCTGCTGTAGCCTTGCAGAGGCAAGCGTGGTGGTAGCTTCACCTGAGACGTTGATGCACAGTCTCATCTGCCGTTTCGGCTTGGCCACAGCTTGGCATCCGAGTTGGGCTCTTTCAGCAGACAGTGCTCTCTCGGACCGTAGATCACGTGGCCGTTTTTTTTTTTTTTGGCCGCAGGTACAGCGGCCAAACCCACAACTGTGTTAAACTTGTTGTCCCCAAGCCAAAACTTCGATCCGTGTTGACCCTAAACCCAAACCTACGTCTGGAAAAAACAACCTAACAAATCCTTACAGAGCTTCAGCGGGGTGACCTTCCACATCTCGTTGAAATATAGCATGTTGTTTCTGTGTTGCTTGCGCAACTTTTCGTGGACTCTCGGAGGCCATTTTGCAAAGCCTCACAGGTTTGATGCGCTGGCGCCAAGGCGCCGCAACTAGAAAATAATCGGGGAAGTAAGCAAGAGCACCACCTTGGTTTTTATTGAGTCTTGAATCGAGTCCCTAGCTCATTGACTATGTTTATGATGGCTCCGGATGATAAACACATTGATTCATCAGACGCGCCGCGTGCTTCCAGCACTTTGAGCTCGTGTGACCGGCTGATCGCCGCGTCAACTTCGCCTTCGCCGCACCTGGCCCACGATGTAGGGAGATCATTCACACAAAAAATGCGGGCAGAAACTGGGGCGCCTGCCAGGATCAAGCGTTGCAATCCGAATCATTCCATCCACAAAGGGCGGTGTTTGCAAGTTCGCAGGACTGGATACGGCTTGCCTCGGGGTCAGCTTGCGAATGGATTTGAATGCGAGCAATGCAACTTCCCCCAAGTTCGCCTACGTTGATTACGTTGTGTTTGCCTGTTTTGGCCAAAATGGACCATTGCATTCACAGTGCCGTTGCACCACCAAGCATCGCCTTTTTTTGGTGCATGTTTGGAAACGAAGCTTAGCAGGCGGACGCTTTGAGACCGGCATTACACTAGCGCGCATCTCCGGGTGTCAATGCTTCAGGGGATTCTTGTCGTATCCACTGAAAGTCTCCTTCTTGGAATTGAACGTTTGGAAGGTTGCGGAGGGTGATGTTCATTCTGTCCGAAGCATCCACCTCTTGCTTGGGATGGCTCAGGACGACACTCGGCTCTTTGGGGAGACTTGGGTCTAGCATCTGTCTGGAATTCATTTATTCCATTGGCTTTGCAGGTGTTAGGAGATCTTTGTTGGACTTCCCACTAAGCATGCGCCTCTTGTTTTGAACGCTGAGCTGCAGCAATTCTTCTAGCATTCGCCTGGCACGCGCCTTCGCTTCTGCACGTTATTTGTGCCGCATCCACGCATTTCAGGCCGCATCTCCTTGTACTCTCAAGTTGGTCGGCGTCCTTGATATCTAGCCTTTATTTGCTCGCGTTATCCTTAACATTTGGGGTTCACGGGTGTCGCCTCCTCTAGATGACGCTCCCTGTTCCTTCCGGAAAGTCAAATGGCTCTATCACCTTCCAAAATCTCTGGGCTCTGTGCTGTAGGCAGGGGATAGCTGGGAGTGCAATACATTCGCTACGGGACGTCGAATGCTCCAAAGATTTGGGCAGTGGGACCGGACCCCCCCAAATTCAACAGGCATGGATATACATGATCCCGGGTTTCATAGCCGAAGATGCAGGTTCCGGAACGGAGGTGTGCTCCTTTTGGGATGCCCAGTTCACGTCATATTTCTTAGGGTTTGGGATGCAAGTGCGCGTGTTTGGTTTTGCTGGGACCCAGCGGGGGTCCTTTTGGCAAAGGCCGTGTGCTGATCAAGCAATTTGGCCAATGGGAATGCGGAGAACGGTGAGGTGGCTGCAGGTTGCTTTTTGCATTGGAGCGCCTTTGTAGGAGGATTTCTGCGTTCTTTGGTTGGTTTGCCACAAGGGCGCCAATCAGGATTTGCCCATGCGGCCGCCCCGTGAGCGTCATGGCTCCATGTGTGATGCGTGGCAGTCTTTGCTTGGAGCGGGGCCTTTCCGTGATGCTGTCAAGCCATCAGTCTGCCTGAGTGTTTTTGCCTCCCGTGGCCAGGATCTTCCACAACTCGCTTGGTGCTTGGATGTTTTTATGGTAGCCCCAACCACAGGAAGCCCCCCCATCATGCTGCCACTTCCC